TAGTGTGAGACGGACATAAGGGATGTCAAAAGGTGTTTTGTGCCTTGTATTATGCCTGTGTGTTCTATTGAAGCTATCTACGAGAAGTTTGAGTGGAGGGTTGATATTGGAGTTTAATGTTCTGTATATATAGTAGGCACAATCATAAGTGTGTATATTGCTGTACAATGTACAAGTTGAACTCAGTGTTTTGTCCAGAACTTAATCTGACAATTAATTTAATAGTTAGATATTTTCTAGCATATATTAGACAAAGATATTTTATAGCATATATTAGACAAAATTTACTTAATTCTTAAACAAATACTTAAGTATTCTTGATGTCATAACACTGGATGAAATAAGGTTTAAAAGGTAATGAAAGTTAGAATGGGAAGGAGTTAAAGGAATTAAGTTGGGGTATCTGTGTGTGGGTGGGTGTGGGTGTGTGTGGGGGAGTGGGTCTTTGAGGGGCATGCAGTATTGTACGTACTATTGAATTTAAAATTTTAGTTTTAAAAAATAGAGTATAAATGTTTTAGTTCTCAAATTGTGTGGTTAAAAATGAATGTATGATGTGAGATGTGGAAAAAACAAGCAGGCATTGTTGTACAGTTCAGAACATTTACTGAAGGAAATATTTTGTCAGCAGTGACTTCTTAACCATTAGTACTGATGAAGCCACTGCTGCTAAAATATTCCCTGGAATAAATATCCTGAACTGTATGTTAGTGTTTTTTTCCTACATCATGTCAGTATACCATACCATTTATGAGAACTAGATAGTATTTTGATTTATATACATTATCTATTAATAGTTCCAGATATTGTCCTTGTTGCTTGGTCTAAGATCAAGTCTTTTAAATTAGAAAGTAACTAGTATAAGGATAAGATTTATAATTGGAAAGTAACTAGTACAAGGATAAGAATTATAATTGGAAAGTAACTAGTACAAGGATAAGAATTATAATTGGAAAGTAACTAGTACAAGGATAAGAATTATAATTGGAAAGTAACTAGTACAAGGATAAGAATTATAATTGGAAAGTAACTAGTACAAGGATAAGAATTATAATTGGAAAGTAACTAGTACAAGGATAAGAATTATAATTGGAAAGTAACTAGTACAAGGATAAGAATTATAATTGGAAAGTAACTAGTACAAGGATAAGAATTATAATTGGAAAGTAACTAGTACAAGGATAAGAATTATAATTGGAAAGTAACTAGTACAAGGATAAGAATTATAATTGGAAAGTAACTAGTACAAGGATAAGAATTATTGTATGTATTAAGAAACACCCATGAAAAATCAATCTAAATGTATACTGAATGTAAACAGAGTCTTGTTAGATTTATCTGCCACCTTTCACATTCATGAGACAACAGTGACTAGCAATATTGCCAGAGTGTAGACATTTATACAGGCTTCTATGTAACATTACAGTGGTTGCTGTCCACTAACCTGTTCAGTTTATATGTATTTCCTCCAGCCATATATTTCAAAGCTGTGCAAAATGGCATAAGATTGTTTCTCTATGTAAGTGGTCTTAAGATTTTATTGTACAATGTATTATCTAACTGAGGTTTGTGTCTACTCATTTCATCTTCATTAGAGGAGAATCTCCTTACATCTATGTTAAAGGAGAATCTCCTTACATCTATGTTAAAGGAGAATCTCCTTACATCTATGTTAAAGGAGAATCTCCTTACATCTATGTTAAAGGAGAATCTGCTTACATCTTCATTAGAGGAGAATCTGCTTACATCTTGATTAAAGGAGAGTCTGCTTACATCTTTATTAGAGGAGAGTCTGCTTAAATCTTTATTAAAGGAGAGTCTGCTTACATCTTTATTAGAGGAGAATCTGCTTACATCTTTATTAGAAGAGAGTCTTCTTACATCTTTATTAGAGGAGAATCTGCTTACATCTTTATTAGAAGAGAGTCTTCTTACATCTTTATTAGAGGAGAATCTGCTTACATCTTTATTAAAGGAGACTCTGTTTACAACTTTATTAGAGGAGAATCTGCTTATATCTTCATTAGCAGAGAATCTGCTTACATCCTTATTAGAGGAGAATTTACTTACATCATTAATAGAGGAGAATATGTTTACACTGTCATTAGTGGAGAGTCAACTTATATCTTTATTAGAGGAGATTCTACTTACTTTGTTATTAGAGGAGAATCAACTTACATCTTTTTTAGAGGAGAATCAACTTACATCTTTATTAGAGGAGAATTTACTTACATCATTAATAGAGGAGAATATGTTTACACTGTCATTAGAGGAGAGTCAACTTATATCTTTATTAGAGGAGATTCTACTTACATTGTTATTAGAGGAGATCTACTTACATCTTTATTTGAGGAGACTCTACTTATATTGTTATTAGAAGAGAATCAACTTACATCTTTATTAGAGGAGAATCAACTTACATCTTTATTAGAGGAGAATCAACTTACATCTTTATTAGAGGAGAATCAACTTACATCTTTATTAGAGGAGAGTTTCGTTCGTCAAGAGCTGTCTCTTAACTCTATTAACTGAAGTAAATTATTTCAAGAATTCTTGTAGTGTGTTCAGGCTCTCTTGAAATAATTTTTCTTCTGTCAGTTGTATCTTCATAAGTTTGGTATCTTTCATCATACAGATACATTGAAGTCTCTCCTCACTGTGTTTGTGTGTGTTTTGTTTTGTGGGTGTGTGTTTTGTGTGTTTGTGTTGTGTATGTGCTTTTTGTGTATGTGTGTGCTATTTGGGTGTGTCTGTTTTGTGTGTGTGTGTAGGTGTGAGAGAGAGTGTGTGTGAGTGTTTGTTTTCCATTCAGTTTCACTTGCTGGTGTTAGTCTTGGCTCCTGGTGTTGTGTTTTGGACATTATTATATATACAGTGGTGCCTCAGCATACGAACAGCTCCCAACTCTAACAATTATATAAGTGTATTTATGTAAGTGTATTTTTGGGCATATGATAGAGTGGATAGAGGAGCAATGTGGCAGATGTTGCAAGTTTATGGAATAGGTGGTAAGTTACTAAATGCTGTAAAGAGCTTTTATGAGGATAGTGAGGCTCAGGTTAGGGTGTGTAGAAGAGAGGGAGAATACTTCCCGGTAAAAGTAGGTCTTAGACAGGGATGTGTAATGTCACCATGGTTGTTTAATATATTTATAGATGGGGTTGTAAAAGAAGTAAATGCTAGGGTGTTCAGGAGAGGGGTGGGATTAAATTATGGGGAATCAAATTCAAAATGGGAATTGACACAGTTACTTTTTGCTGATGATACTGTGCTTATGGGAGATTCTAAAGAAAAATTGCAAAGGTTAGTGGATGAGTTTGAGAATGTGTGTAAAGGTAGAAAGTTGAAAGTGAACATAGAAAAGAGTAAGGTGATGAGGGTATCAAATGATTTAGATAAAGAAAAATTGGATATCAAATTGGGGAGGAGGAGTATGGAAGAAGTGAATGTTTTCAGATACTTGGGAGTTGACGTGTCGGCAGATGGATTTATGAAGGATGAGGTTAATCATAGAATTGATGAGGGAAAAAAGGTGAGGGGTGCGTTGAGGTATATGTGGAGTCAAAAAACGTTATCTATGGAGGCAAAGAAGGGAATGTATGAAAGTATAGTAGTACCAACACTCTTATATGGATGTGAAGCTTGGGTGGTAAATGCAGCAGTGAGGAGACGGTTGGAGGCAGTGGAGATGTCCTGTCTAAGGGCAATGTGTGGTGTAAATATTATGCAGAAAATTCGGAGTGTGGAAATTAGGAGAAGGTGTGGAGTTAATAAAAGCATTAGTCAGAGGGCAGAAGAGGGGTTGTTGAGGTGGTTTGGTCATTTAGAGAGAATGGATCAAAGTAGAATGACATGGAAAGCATATAAATCTATAGGGGAAGGAAAGAGGGGTAGGGGTCGTCCTCGAAAGGGTTGGAAAGAGGGGTAAAGGAGGTTTTGTGGGCGAGGGGCTTGGACTTCCAGCAAGCGTGCATGAGCGTGTTAGATAGGAGTGAATGGAGACGAATGATACTTGGGACCTGACGATCTGTTGGAGTGTGAGCAGGGTAATATTTAGTGAAGGGATTCAGGGAAACCGGTTATTTTCATATAGTCGGACTTGAGTCCTGGAAATGGGAAGTACAATGCCTGCACTTTAAAGGAGTGGTTTGGGATATTGGCAGTTTGGAGGGATATGTTGTGTATCTTTATACATATATGCTTCTAAACTGTTGTATTCTGAGCACCTCTGCAAAAGCAGTGATAATGTGTGAGTGTGGTGAAAGTGTTGAATGATGATGAAAGTATTTTCTTTTTGGGGATTTTCTTTCTTTTTTGGGTCACCCTGCCTCGGTGGGAGACGACCGACTTGTTGAAAAAAAAAAAAAAAAAAGTATTTTTTGGGGTCTGAAATGGATTAATCTAATTTACATTATTCCTTATGGGAACAAATTCCTTCGGTATCAGCACTCGAACAGCCTTCTGGAACGAATTAAGTTCGTATCCTGAGGTACCACTGTACTTCCTTCAAAGGTGGATGAGTGCCTTGATGTTGGTGAAGGGCTCTTGGTCCAGGGAGTTGGATCTACCATCCAGTTTTTCAGATCAAACCTGATTGTCTTTTATTCTTCACTCCCTGTAATGCCTCTATTGATTTAATTCTTCCTTGTATGTATAATAATTATTATACAGTGGAACCTCAAATATCGAACTTTCTTCGGTCCAGAAATCTGTTCGAGTGCCTTTACCGTATGAATTTATTCCCATCAAGAATAATGTAAATTAGATTAGTCCATTTCAGACCCTTAAAAATACACTTATAAAAGCACTTACAAAAATACACTTACATAATTGGTTGTGTTGGGAGCAGTTCGATTTTTGAGGTTCCACTGTACTTTCTCTTGCCACTGTGTATAACTGTGCACATAAGATATTGTGTTGTAGGCTTTCTTTTGTTACCTAAATCAAACCAAATAACTAGGAGAAATAAAAGCATATTTTTTTATATTTTCATGCCTCAGGAGAAATTCCATGTGTGTATACCAAGGCCAAGTATTGCACCCAGTGCGGTAAGAGTTGTTAATACCACTGTGGTTGTAGAAGCATTAGCAGCTGTTTGAGTAAATGTTTGTTGTTTGTTGAAGCTTGTAATTAAGATGTAAGAGTCACTTAAGATAATAGTGTGTCTTTTCTACTGATGTTTGTCAGTAACTCGAAAGCATTCTTGATAACTATGATGATTTAGGGATCCAAAAAGGTTTTGAAGTTACTAGTGTAACTATAGCCATTAAATATGTATTTTGATCTTTTTGAAATTATTTTATGTATTAGAAAACTAAAATGAGTCGATAAATTATTAACTACCAATAATCAGAAGTAAACTTCACATTCTTGGTTTATCTTTCTTCTTGGATCCTGTCTTCTCTTGTTTTGTTGGGCTTACTTAACCATCAGTATACTGTACAACCAAAGAACTTCAAAATACTCTCAGTGCTGCTTTAATGCATCTGCATGGATTTTGTTTTTTCCACCAGGGTAAACATATAGCATGTAACTTGTGGCAAGAAATCACTTTCAAATGTGGGTTTATAGGTATAAAGCCAGTGTAAAAAAATAACAGACCAAACATACCCAAGCATTTTTATGTGTTTACACATAAATACACACACACATCTTTCAAGAAATTTATGATGTGTACACCATTTAAAAGCACTTAGATATTTTTACTGGTGCTTCTTGACTTACGTATTGAAGAGCAATTATGTACTTCGGAGATGAAACTTGAGATAATTACCTAGCATGAAAGCAGCAAATCCATAACTTGTACTCATTTATTTACTTTTCAATAGTGACAGTAATTATTTGATTATTTACTTAGCAACAGTAGTTATTTCTTTACTTATTTGGCATATATTCAGATTTGACTTAGGATATTTTCAGCTTACAATGAATGCATTGGAACGTAACCCCATCGTCAGTTGAAGACCACTTGTAGTCTGTTATTTTAACACTGTAATGTTTTTCCTGTAGTGTGTTGCTTGCTACATGTTATTTATGTATATTTGGGAACTCATCATTTGACTCAACACAAGCCACAAGCCAGTATTTCTTCCTCCAGTTCTTATTATTAGTTATTATTAAGTCATCTATTAACTTTCACACTTGCTGCTACTCATACCTGTGTCCTAGAAATGCAGGCATCCCAGAAATACTTACAGGTGTCCCTGACATACATACAGGTGTCCCTGACATATGTACATACAAGTGTCCCTGGTTTTATGCCAGTACTTTTTTGTGTAGCATATTAAGTTAGTAATTATTTATTGTATGTCATACTAAGTTAGTAATTATTGATATATAATACTAAGTTAGTAATTATTTATTATATATCATACTAAGTAATTATTTGTTATACAGTCTATTAGGTTAGTAGTAATTATCACAGCAACAAGAGCCAATACAACAGTATTAGGAAAATATAACGTGCATATAATGTATGTTAATACAATATATGAGCATTTTATAAATACAGTAGGGCCCCACTTATACAGCAGGTTAGGTTCAAGGCTACTGCCATAAAGCAGAATGCCCATTTTTTTTCACTTATAAATGCATATAAATGTCAGAAAACAAGTTTACACTAACATATATTATGTTAGCAATAGAACTAGGCATTAAAAACAATAAAAAAGTAAAATACACATATAGTATACTTATTACTTTCTTTAAAATATATGTAGTTGTAATATAGCAAGGGAGGGCAAACTGCGGTCCTCCAAGATCAAGTCATATACTCACGTATATGCAACTGAATAAGCAAAACTTTGTTCATTTTTCTCTTTTGAAAGCATGAACTGTTCCACAAGCATTATCAGACAAATACGTACAGTTCCCAGTTGATGGCACTGAAAAGTTTGCCCACCCCTGTAATATAGGGTAAGAGGTGAGTAGTATTTATTGTTGAAAGTCAGATGGTAGGTATAGTAGCTCGCCTGGCTACCACACCTACCCGTAATATACGGCATTTAAAGTGCCCCAGAGTGATAAAATACACATTCAGTACACATTACTTAGCTTAATATATTTGTAGTCTTAATGTAGGGTGAGAGGTGAGTATTTATTATAGAAAGTCAGGTGTGGTAGCTCCATCACCACCTACCACACCTACATGAAATACTATACAACTTAAATTTAAAGCGCTCCAGAGCAGTTACTATTACAGCCTCTCGTCACTGAGCGACATACCTGTTTACTGATGACTCGGACTTACAACGGACTCTCTGACCAGTTTGCATACCTGAATTATGTATGTTAGAGCTGATTTCCTCTATTCTGTTTATTACAGTATACAGTATACAGCCGTAATCCATTCCTGGAGCTAGGCCTAAAGTCAAAACGGCTTAAAGTCGAAGCAATATTTCCCATAAGAAATAATGTAAATCCAATTAATCCATTCCAGACCCACAAAAATATTCACAAAAAATACATTTTTTTAAAGAATAACTGTAGTTTTACATACACATAACAATTTTTTTTTTTATTTTTTTTTTTATTATCACACTCGCCGATTCCCACCAAGGCAGGGTGGCCCGAAAAAGAAAAACTTTCACCATCATTCACTCCATCACTGTCTTGCCAGAAGGGTGCTTTACACTACAGTTTTTAAACTGCAACATTAACACCCCTCCTTCAGAGTGAAGGCACTGTACTTCCCATCTCCAGGACTCAAGTCCGGCCTGCTGGTTTCCCTGAACCCCTTCATAAATGTTACTTTGCTCACACTCCAACAGCACGTCAAGTATTAAAAACCATTTGTCTCCATTCACTCCTATCAAACACACTCACGCATGCCTGCTGGAAGTCCAAGCCCCTCGCACACAAAACCTCCTTTACCCCCTCCATCCAACCTTTCCTAGGCTGACCCCTACCCTGCCTTCCTTCCACTACAGACTGATACACTCTTGAAGTCATTCCGTTTTGCTCCATTCTCTCTACATGTCCGAACCACCTCAACAACCCTTCCTTAGCCCTCTGGACAACAGTTTTGGTAATCCCGCACCTCCTCCTAACTTCCAAACTACGAATTCTCTGCATTATATTCACACCACACATTGCCCTCAGACATGACATCTCCACTGCCTCCAGCCTTCTCCTCACTGCAACATTCATCACCCATGCTTCACACCCATATAAGAGCATTGGTAAAACTATACTCTCATACATTCCCCTCTTTGCCTCCAAGGACAAAATTCTTTGTCTCCACAGACTCCTAAGTGCACCACTCACCCTTTTCCTTTCATCAATTCTGTGATTCACCTCATCTTTCATAGACCCATCTGCTGACACGTCCACTCCCAAATATCTGAATACATTCACCTCCTCCATACTCTCTCCCTCCAATCTGATATCCAATCTTTCATCACCTAATCATTTTGTTATCCTCATAACCTTACTCTTTCCTGTATTCACTTTTAATTTTCTTCTTTTGCATACCCTACCAAATTCATCCACCAATCTCTGCAACTTCTCTTCAGAATCTCCAAAGAGCACAGTGTCATCAGCAAAGAGCAACTGTGACAACTCCCACTTTATGTGTGATTCTTTATCTTTTAACTCCACGCCTCTTGCCAAGACCTTCGCATTTACTTCTCTTACAACCCCATCTATAAATATATTAAACAACCACGGTGACATCACACATCCTTGTCTAAGGCCTACTTTTACTGAGAAATAATTTCCCTCTTTCCTACATACTCTAACTTGAGCCTCACTATCCTCGTAAAAACTCTTCACTGCTTTCAGTAACCTACCTCCTACACCATACACCTGCAACATCTGCCACATTGCCCCCCTATCCACCCTGTCATACTTTTTTTTTTTTTTTTTCAACAAGTCGGTCGTCTCCCACCGAGGCAGGGTGACCCAAAAAAGAAAGAAAATCCCCAAAAAGAAAATACTTTCATCATCATTCAACACTTTCACCACACTCACACATTATCACTGCTTTTGCAGAGGTGCTCAGAATACAACAGTTTAGAAGCATATACGTATAAAGATACACAACATATCCCTCCAAACTGCCAATATCCCAAACCCCTCCTTTAAAGTGCAGGCATTGTACTTCCCATTTCCAGGACTCAAGTCCGACTATATGAAAATAACCGGTTTCCCTGAATCCCTTCACTAAATATTACCCTGCTCACACTCCAACAGATCGTCAGGTCCCAAGTATCATTCGTCTCCATTTACTCCTATCTAACACGCTCATGCACGCTTGCTGGAAGTCCAAGCCCCTCACCCACAAAACCTCCTTTACCCCCTCTTTCCAACCCTTTCGAGGACGACCCCTACCCCTCTTTCCTTCCCCTATAGAATTATATGCTTTCCATGTCATTCTACTTTGATTCATTCTCTCTAAATGACCAAACCACCTCAACAACCCCTCTTCTGCCCTCTGACTAATGCTTTTATTAACTCCACACCTTCTCCTAATTTCCACACTCCGAATTTTCTGCATAATATTTACACCACACATTGCCCTGTCATACGCCTTTTCCAAATCCATAAATGCCACAAAGACCTCTTTAGCCTTATCTAAATACTGTTCACTTATATGTTTCACTGTAAACACCTGGTCCACTCACCCCCTACCTTTCCTAAAGCCTCCTTGTTCATCTGCTATCCTATTTTCCGTCTTACTCTTAATTCTTTCAATAATAACTCTACCATACACTTTACCAGGTATACTCAACAGACTTATCCCCCTATAATTTTTGCACTCTCTTTTGTCCCCTTTGCCTTTATACAAAGGAACTATGCATGCTCTCTGCCAATCCCTAGGTACCTTACCCTCTTCCATACATTTATTAAATAATTGCACCAACCACTCCATAACTATATCCCCACCTGCTTTTAACATTTCTATCTTTATCCCATCAATCCCGGCTGCCTTACCCCCTTTCATTTTACCTACTGCCTCACGAACTTCCCCCACACTCACAACTGGCTCTTCCTCACTCCTACAAGATGTTATTCCTCCCTTGCCCTATACACGAAATCACAGCTTCCC